TGGGTGGTAGAAATTTGCATGCCATCTGCCTACACTGTATTTGGCTCTGACCATTAAAATACCTCCCTTTCACAAGCATTAATAATATCACCTACAGCAAATGCATGACCTGAGAGGGGAAAGAAAAAACAGTAATTATTTCACACTCTTTATGAGCAAGCAGGTAGTTTTTTCACATCAGCTGGACTGTGGGAAGTGGGAAACTTTATAATTGCTGTTTGATCAGAATTGAAGACAGCATTCTCATTATGATGTCTGATTGCATACTCATGAAATTCATGTGGGCAATAGAATGCCATATGTATGCAGGGTGTCCCCAAGTGCATTACAAAACACGGTGTTACAGCCTGATGCCCCAGAAGTGTTGAGCACCCAACAGATCCCATGGAAATCTATAGGGCGTTGCAAATGCTCCTTCAGGTCATTTGATACTGGAGTCCCAACACTGCTGCCTGCTTTGCAGCTGCCTGTTTAGGTGAGTGAGGGGCTGGAGACAGGCGCAACACTTGGGGTTCCAACAGCAGGGAAGGAGAAGCAGCAGGCTGCAGCTGTAGAGATAAGGGGAAGAATCCTTGGTTGCCAGCTCTCCTGTTGCTTCCTCACCAGTGCACGAACAAATAGAGATGGGGGGTGCCCCTACTATCTCCCTCGCCCTCCCCATGCACACCCCTAACCACTGGAGCTGAGTGAATAATTGATTTTGGCCAAATTTACAGGCAGTTGTTACACCATTACCACAGCTATCTCCTGTTGTGAAAGTCTGAGGAAGTGCAGGCAGACCCTAGTACCCCCATGAGGTAACAATTGGCAAATGATGACTCTGTGGGTGAAACCCTAGCCACGCTGAAGTCAATGGAAAAGCTCCCATGGACTGAGAGGACAAGAGTTGACCCCACGCACACAGCTTCCTGACTATAGAGATGAGATGACCTGGATTGATGAAGTTCTGTGCTACGATAACCAGGCATTTCCATGAAATCTCTGTATGCAGCCAATAGTACCAAAGCTGGTATCACCACTAATCACAAATCTTCCTCTGTTTAAGGAACAATTCAAAGAAGCCCAGGAAGTTTATCAGGCTGGGATAGAGAATTGTCCAGAGAGCTCTGATCTGCATAATAACTATGGTGTTTTCTTAGTTGATACTGGTAAGTGAGATGGTGATAGCAGATTTATTTTCTTGCTTACTGGCTGTGTTGAGAGGGTCTGGATTATTTAGTAGTGTGTTTTCTATAGATTGTCGAGGGCTCCCAGAGCAGAGGATAAGACATGCTTTCATTGTAGTTTGTAAAAGTCCAAATAAAATACATATTCGCTCTGTTCTCTTGAAACTGACCAGAGTGCTTGAGGTTTGAACAGTTTTGGAACAAACACTAACACAGTACAGCAGTGGTTCTCAGTGTGTTTCCTGCCGCATTTGTCTCATCCAGCCAGTGCATCATGCAGTAGCCTGATGTCTTTGTGATAATTTCCCCAGGAACACATGACCACTAAAAGTCACAGATTAGCGGGCACACATGTTACTTTTGCAGTGGTTTGTGACTCTGCTCAGTGGCAAAGTTGCTTTGTTGGCTGTGGGAAGCAGAACACCACTGTTGTAAATTAAACAAAGCTTTGAAATTACAAAACAAAAAATATATGACTTGTGGGGAGAATGGATTTCTCAGCGGATTGGTAATGGGATACAGAGCCTTTTACTTCTATGCTGTTGGGTCAAATCCAGCTTCCGTGGCCCCTGGCAGTTCCTGGCATCCACATAATAAAAATCTCCATCCCAACTGGCACCTTTTGCTGACAGTTTGAGGAGGAGGGCCAAGTTTAAACAGCCACAGAAACTAAACTACCCTCTCGCTGCTAGTAATGGTCCCTGCAGAATCAGGCTGAGACACTGATGAAGTGCTGCATACTAAGCTAGCATAGCCCATTCTGTTCTTCGGACTCTACTGTTGTCACATCTCAACATTACAAAGAAGAAGACTCAGTTATAATTTGGAAGGAAGTTCTCTGAAAGCCAGAATCTTCCAGGAAGTTTGTTCATGATGCTGTCGGTAGCATTCTTGCCTCTGAGTTAGTACTGATCCCATACTCTTGTATGATGTTACTGGCCGTCCTGCTGCCATCAATATAAAACAAACATGCTGAGTACCCGTGGCCATGAAAGAAACCATGGTGTTAAGTGCAGAGGTGTAGATTTTAATCTTGTGTCTTGGCAAAATTCAATCTTCCCTTCCAGTCCTAAACTATTGTGTGAAGCTGCCAAGAGGTTCTATTCCATCCAAGTCTGAATAAAATCAGACAATAAAGTTATGAATGTTTGAAACATGGCTACTGCACTTAGGCAGTGGAAAATTGCATTAAGGCACAGGATGTATCTTCACTGAAAGTTAATTTGAGCATTCTACACTCAAGTTGACTCCTCTCCAGTCAACCTGCCTTGAGTAAGAGTGGCCATGCTGCAAATAACACTCCATGCTGCAGAGAGTGATTGGATTAGCAGCTGATGAGATGTGTTAATTTGACCTCAAATCTGTCTGATTCTTGGGCCATCTAATTCAAATTCGAAGCATTTGAATGTGGCTGTCCTTAAGCCACATGTTGTTTTGGTGTGAATGGGCCTCAAGTTAGGGGCAACATGAGTTAAAACTCTGCAGTGAACACAAACCCTCAGTGGGCACACTAGTAAGAAGAAGCACTATTCCCACCTGTGTAAGTGTGACCATATTAAGTGAGCACATAATATGCAGGCATCAGTTCACCGTAAAACTTAAGTTTTCTAGTTAGATGTGACTGAAGTACTTATGCTACTATAAACATTAAAAAACAACAAAGGGTCTGGTAGCACTTTATAGACTAACAAAATGTGTAGATGGTATCATGAGCTTTCGTGGGCACAACCCACTTCTTCAGATGTGGCCACGAAAGCTCATGATACCATCTGCATGTTTCGTTAGTCTCTAAAGTGCTACCAGACCATTTGTTGTTTTTTAAGTTTATACTTTACAGACTAACTCGGCTACCCCCTGAAGCTTATAAACATGAAGGCACTTTAAAGATGGGATCTTCTAAAGCATTAATTGTTCTCCTGCTCATCAGTGGGGGTAGAGTTAGGCCATCACTAACTTACTGTTGGAATGCTTCCCTAAAGTGTGATGTTTGCTTCTGGCTTTGAGGCATTTCAAGTGCTTATGAGTCTCACTATGGAATACTCTTGCTTGCCTTTAAAAATTCAAGGAAATAGAACAGAACAAGTGTATAATGGAACTTCAATGTTATACGGATAGGTATTTCCTACCTTTTTGTGACCAAATGTAGGTTCTAGCCCTGTTGCACGTGTACTGTTTTTTATTCCTATTTTTTTTCCTGGCTAAAAATGGGGTTTTGATATATTGCTGTTCATTGTGAAATGGTTTGCCATAAAACACGTGAAGGGACAGACCTTCAGCAGCTGCTGTTTTACACCAGCCAAGGAGCTGGCCCAAGATATGCAGCATTGATGAGTTCTCTACTGAAGCTTTCATATTTGTGTTGTTGGGTTGCTGATGAGTTCAACTGTACCTGTGCTTATTTTGTACTTACTATGTGTGGGTGCATACAGCATGGTGAGATCCTTCAGCTACATGAAAGGCTATATGCAAAATTATTATAAATATAAATTCCCTCCCCAGAAAGGTCTGGCACCTTTTTCAGCACAAAATGAACTTCAGCGTTTTAAGCACAAAACATAGATGAATGTTGATAGCTTTTCAAGTAACTTGAACAATATTATGCTTTGCATTTGTGTCTGATCTAGTGGATTTCAGAATTACATTTGCTATTTTGTGTATAGATAGGTAAAATGCAGACACATAGTGCCACCTAATGGTTCCTCTGACACATAGAAATCTTGATTATATTCTACAAAACAATTTTCTACCAGTAAATTCTAAACCAGGGAAATAACTACAGCAGGGTGTTGGAAGTGATCTGTTGGAGTTTGCCATAGGTTCCTTTTGAGTCCTGAGTGCAGAGGTTGTGTTGTACCCTCAGTAGCCTACCATGATTGCAAACTGCAGGGTAAGTTATTGGTATCTACCTACGGCTGCTGGATTTGAATCTGTTTTTTTTCCAAATATTAAAAATGCATTTTTGTCCAATGTAGCCTTCACAATAATAATCTGAGTGGGGAAGAAGTGATAACTAATGATAACCTTTCTCTAAGTTTTGACTACAGGCAGTCCCCGGGTTACATGGATCCGACTTACATCGGATCCCTACTTACAAACGGGGTGAGGCAACCCCGCACTAGCTGCTTCCCCCCAGCAGACCAGGGAGACGCGAAGCTAGCGCCCCCTCCCCCCCCCAGCAGACTAGGGAGACGCGGAGCGGCTTTTCTCAGCAGACACCTCAGCTTGAGAATAAAGGACTGAGGGAAGTGAGGTGTGGGAGAATAAATCTGAGCTCTGGAGAAATGTTTGGCTAGAGTTTCCCCTACAATATGTACCAGTTCCGACTTGCATACAAATTCAACTTAAGAACAAACCTACAGTCCCTATCTTGTACGTAACCCGGGGACTGCCTGTATATTTATTGTTAAATTAGTTTTTCAGTTACTATTTTCCTTTTTCCAGATGCCTTGGATTTGAGAGACTTGTTCTCAGTGCCCCATCCTATAAGCACAACTATACTTTCAGCTGCTGCTGGTAATCCAGTTAGTTGCTTGCTGATTCCACTTTCTATTGGAGAAAAACATGTTTCACTCAGGAGCAAAATTCATTTTAAAACCTGAGCTGTTTGTCCTGTCTACCTTTGTTTGCAGCCTCTGTCCTTTACAGCTGAGTAAATTTGTGCCTAAACCCAGGCTGCTAGATCTCATTTTGCTCTAAATCTTTTATTTGAATGGCAGTTTTCCTTTATTCTTAATTTCAAGAAGAGATGAGACAGGATTTCTCTTTCCCACCTTCAAAGTACCCTGAACACAGAGCAAAGGAGTATTTCACACGTGATGATGATTATCCAAAAGAATCAAAGTGTGCTTTAGAGCTGAAACTTTTAAGACTTCCATGAGGCACCAGCCTAACAGCCTTTTGCTTTTGCAGGAGCTCCCGAGAGAGCAGTGTCTCACTACCAGCAGGCCATCTGGCTCAGCCCCAACCACTACGTGGCCATGGTGAACCTAGGCCGTCTCTACCGCTCTCTGGGTGAGAACAAAGAGGCGGAAGCTTGGTACAAACGGTAAGTAACAGAAATGGGATGAAACTTAGTCGTGCAAAGTGTGGTTGTGACCTTAGGGATTAAAAACAAGAATTTTTCTTCTAAGCTGGGGATGTATGAGTTGGAAGGAACAGAGGAGGAGAAAGACCTGGCTGTTCTGCATGATCTCAGGATGACTACAAGCTGCAAATGTGATGCAGCCAGGAAAAAAGGCTAATGCAGTGCTAGGATGCATCAAACAAGGTATTTCCAGTAAAGATAGGAAAGTGTTATTACCATTATACCAGGCACTGATGAGACCTCCTCTGGATCACTGCTCTCTCATGTTTCTCTCTCATTCTGGTCTCATATTTACAAAAGACAACTTCAAATAGGAACGAGCAGAGAAAGGCTACTTGGACAATCCAGGAATGGAAAACCTCCCCTATGAGAGGAGATTTAAGCAACTTGGCTTATTTAGCCTAGCCAAACAAAGGCTAAGGAGAAATATGATTGCTGTCTCTACAGACATCAAAGGAAAAACATCAGGGAGGGAGATAAGTATAAGTACAAATGGATATAAATTGGCCATCCATAAGTTTAGGCTTGAAATTAGATGAAGGATGTTAACCATTGCGGGAGTGAAATTCTAGAGCAACTTTCCAAGGGGAGTAATGGGGGGATACAACGTAACTTCTTTGAAGATGAAGCTTGGTAAGTTCATGGTGGGGATGATATGATGAGGTTGCCTAAAATGGCACATGGCTCGTCCATGATTGCTATTAGCACATGTCTCCAGAGTCAAGAGACAGATGCTAGATGGGGAGGGCTCTGAATTACTACAAAGAATTCTTTCTCCAGTGTCTAGTGGTGGGTCTCCTTCTATGCCTAGGATCTAACTCATCACCATATTTGGGTTAGGAAGCAATTTTCCCCGGGTCAGTTTGGCAAAGACCATGGGGGTTTCTCCCTACGTCTGTAGCATAGTGCATTGGTCACTTGCGGGTTTGAACTAGAGTAAGTGGTGGATTCTCCATATCTTGAATCTCTAATTCAAGATTTGAGGACTTCAGTAGCTCATCCAAAGGTGAGGGACCTGTAATAGGAGTGGGTGGGCTAAGTTCTATGGCCAGTGATATGCTGGTCAGAATAGTTGGGGGTCAGCAACCTTCTGCACACGACCCATCAGGGTAATTCTCTGTTGGACCACATGACACTGTGCTGATATTAACCAGCTGCAGGCACAGTCCCCCACAGCTCCCAGTGGCCACAGTTAGCAATTCCCGGCCAATGGGAGCCGTACACAGCAGTGGCTAGCATGTCCCTGTAGTCCACACCTCAGCCTGCAGCTTCCAGTGGCCATGGTTCACTGTTTTAATCTTCCTGTGCAATGTCAGGTTTTTTTCACTCCTTCCCTCCGAGTGTCATGTTCACCATGGCTGCTGTGCCTGGCTGGGTTTTGAGAGTACCCAGAGCCCTGTTGTTCAGCTGACGATAAGCAGGCCAGGATTGTTCAGCAAGTGCTGTGCTATGCTCCTCTTGGGCCCCACCCCAGGTCATCCTCTGCTGTTTCCAGCTGCCGGGTGTTGCTGTGTAGGAGATCAGTGGTTTCTGGTTGTTATCAGTAAACTGTTAACACAGTTCACATGACACTGAAAGCATTCCAGAGAGGGAGGGTTGCATGTGAGTACAGAACTGCCATGCAATTTTGAGCCAATTTTCCTTCAGGAATCCAGGCTCTCCTCCGGGAATCACCTGTTCTGCAATATAGCACTGCCTTATGTGTGGAACAAACAGTTTCTTTGTGGTTTGCCTCCCAGTGCATAAGAGAGGATGGACGGTCCTTGAACTCCTTGTTGGAACACCTCCCGGCATTTTTGCTCTCATCCCACAACCACTGGTGCTGGAACTGTCTTTATAGTGGGGGTGCTGAAGGCAGAAACCATCTATTCAGGATGATATCTCTACTTCAAGCCAGGGGCTGTGATGGCATCCCTAGTTCTAGCACTCTATATTCCCTTTGGAGCCAGTCCCCTCTGCTCCTTAGCGGGCCAGTGAGACTTCTGTTGGGACGCTTCCTTCTCCCATCAGGGATTCTGAATGCTGCCTCTACAGCTCTTCCCTTCTAGGCTAGCTTGGAGCAAAAGGTCTGGCTGGACCACGTCTCAGGCTCTGGTCTGGCAATACAGAGCACTAACCTTTCCAAGGCAAATCTCATAGCAAATCATACTCTTGTCTTACACGATCTTTCATTCTTCCCAACATGTAGAGCGTTGAAAGTATCGCGGAAGGCTGAAATTCTGTCCCCCCTTGGAGCTCTCTACTACAACACGGGACGATATGAAGAAGCTTTACAGGTTTACAGGGAAGCCGCAGCACTGCAGCCTTCAAACAAAGAGATTCGACTGGCACTGGTGAGTGTCTGACTAGAACGTTCGTGATGTTAGTATTTACTAATATTATCCACGGCACTTGGGTTTGAGGGGGTTCTGTCACAGCCTGGTGCTCTTTCCACTTGTCTGATAATTACTGTGAACTTTTCCTAGAGCAAGGAACTGCGAGTCTTGGTTTTAATTTTGTACTGAGGCAGAAAGGGTTTGTCCCCATCTGTCTCAAAGCCCAGAAAATTGCCATTCTGTTCTTTATTCTTGTAACCGCCACTGTTCTCACTGAGGAGAGCCAGGAGCACCAGCCTGGCCTGCTTCTTGTTGATTGGAGGGGACATTATTGAGTGAAGCCCAGTCC